TTCTTTCTCAAATGTATACTAAAAGTTCATTGTTGGGCAAGAGATGCTGTCAAGTGCTTTTACACAGTCCCTCTTACTGGTTCCCTTATTGCTGCATAGAACAGGCAGGGATGTGAAACAGGCAGAGGATGGAGATGGAAAAATGCTGTGTTAGCCATAAAAACCACAAGTTTCCGTGTTACCTGCAGAGAAGGATTCTCTTTCAACCTTCTCCTCTAACCTGAGCACACCAAGCATAGCAACATGCCCAGGCAGGCTGTGACCAACTACCACTACCGGCTAGCCCAAAGTTGTGCTCTTTGACATCTCTGGATTAGGGATATAGAATTTTGATTAATTGGCTAATCAACTAGTCAATACAAATTGCATCAACTATTCGATTAGTTGATAAGGGCGCCTTTGCTTTTGAAAGCGCTTCAAAGGTGAAAGCACTGTGGGGGGCGCAGGGCCAGTGGGGAACTGCTCAAGTCCCCCGCTGGCCCCATGCTCCCTGCAGTGTTTCAAAGCAGCATCGCTGCACGGAACCCGGGGTCAGCGTTTCAAAGCGGCAGACCCCGGTCTCCATGCAGCACTGCTACTTTGAAACATCGCATGCAGCCCAAGCCAGCTGGGGATCCCAGGCTGAACATGGCATTTCAAAATGGCAGACCCCTGACTCCACGCAGCACTGCCACTTTGAAGAACCCCCGCTTTCCCCCCTTGTTGCCTCTTTCTGATAGATGCAGCAAGAGTCGGGGGAAGCGACTGGTCAACTAGTGTGCTGACTATCCGATAAGCATTTACTTATTGGATAGTCGACTAGTCATTCACACACCTACTCTGGGTATGTGTACACTGTAGTTAATAACCTGTGGCTGGCCTGTGCCACCTGATCAGGCTTTTAGGACTCTGGCTGTTCCATTGCAATGTAGACTTCTGGGCTTAGGCTGGAGCCCAGGGTCTGGGTCCCTATAAGGTGGGAATGTCGTAGATCTCAGGCTGCACCTTGAGTGTAGACATCTACACCACAATAAATAGCCCCATAGCCTAAGCATACCCTTTGAGGGAATTGCAGTGTTTGCTACATGGAAGAAGAGAGAATGAGCAAGCAGCATTCACTTTCCAAAACTTTTACTGTAGTTCTCTTAGTGAAAAATTTTCCCACAGGTTCACTTCCTTTTTCACATATGCAAGAGGCTGCACAGATTTTTGGCAGACAGGACAAAAAAAATACTCAGGGTTCTCTTAAACCAATGGGTTTCAAACTATGGATTGTGACCCAGTACTGGGTTGTGAAATATCAGGCACTGGGTCTCGTTGGTGCAGGTGGATCAGGTGATAAGTGGGAGTGCTAAGACAGACTACCTATCTGTCCTGGCACCGCTGACTGCTCAGCAGGCGAGGCTACTAGGTAGGGGAGGGAGGTTGGAGCACACAGAGCTGCATGTACTACCTCTGCCCCAAGCACTAGCTCTGTACTCCCATTGGCTGGGAACATGCTGCTGGATGCTTCTGGGGCACAGCATTGTCTGTGGTGCCAAGAGAGGCAGAAAGCCTGCCTTAGCACTCTCGCTGCACTGTTGACTGGGAGCTGCTCAAGGTAAGCCTCTCCTGCCCCAACACTGACCCCCCACAAAAGCTGGAGTTACCTCCTGTACCCCAAAGCTCTCATCCTCAGCTCCACCCTGGAGCCCACACTCCAGTCAAATTAAGCTGGGTCACAGGCATCAACAATTTTCTTCAACTGGGTCACAAGAAAAAAAAAGTTTGAAAACCACCATCTTAAACCATTTTCTCCTCCACAAGTCAGTACAGCTTTCCACAATTTTCCTCTTCTCTGCAGTAAAGGATGCTCAGGGTCAAAATAATTACAACAGTGTTCCTTTTCCTTTGAGTGACAGAAACTTGTCAGGGGATGTTTTACGGTAACAATAATTTATTACAATTAGTAATACAACTGAAATAGTGGAACATAGTTTTTAAGGACAACATGACCCAATTCTGCTCCTACTGAAGAAGTTTTGCTACTGAACTTCAATGGTCTATGCCATATTTCTTCAAAGTCAAGTCAAACTTTATCCTTTTTAATAACAGCTCTCATAACAGAAAGCAGAAATTTCAGGTTATTGAAAACAACTAGCAAAGCCCCACCTTCTCAGACACTCCATACAATACATACAGCTTTGCCACTGATGAAGTGAAAAGGAGTTTAGAGATGTTAAATACAAAAATGGAAAAAACAAAGGATAAAAAGTTTTTTAAAAGTGTCAATGTCCCTTTTACCATTTACACACATATGGCTTTTGAGGATTTGTTTTCTTCCTGATCGGCAATTACATAGCAATATATAATATTATTAGAATGTAACTTAAATAAAACTTCTCTTTTATCCCAGGTGTTAGGTGTTTAGAGCTCAGATAACAAGAACATTTTTAAAGCAATCATACTGCTTTCCTCAACTGTATGAGATATTCATTCAGTACCACAGAGGGCTTTATAGCTGTCTAGCTAGAAAGATTTCTAAAACAGGAATGGAAGGAATGAAGAGCATCTAAAAGAAAAAAAATATGACCAGTTAAAAAAATATAAAAAATTAGCCTGTGTCAACTTTGAATATGTCCCTTTGTCACTTTTGCTAAATTGATTACCTGGAATCAGGATAACTGTGATTTGAAGAACAACATTTCCATAATTTGTAGATTTTCCAGGAAACTAAAGAAGTCTTGCCTATTAGAAGTGCCAGGACATAGAAGTACACAATGCTTCCCAAAAACCTTTGTAGTACATTACCCTCTACCACATTTCTAACAAAAGTGTAATTAAAGGGTTTAGTTAAATTATCTGAATGATCTACAGGTGTATAACTTCTTGGGTTTATACTGTTAAAAGTTTTGCTCAAAAGATTAAGTGCAAATAAGGTATTTACAAATCAGATTTCAGTGTTATGTCTTTTAACGTTTTGTTATTAAAGTGATCTTATTCATGGAATGAGGAGTATGAGCTAAAATTTTCTCTTACATATACAAGGTCAGATTCTGCTTGCTCCATTTACAAGTAGTTTCCAAATATCAACATGCTTGACAGGGGCATACACTGTAAGTAAGTTTCTTTTAACCACATTATTAAATCCTTTCCATTAAAAAAGTGAACTAAGTTATATAATCCAGTTTTGTTTCTACTGATGTTCTTGTCTGAGATGCAGAAGGTAAACAATAAAATCAATTAAGTCAGTTTCACTTTCAGATTCTTAATGCTGTAATGTTTAGGTTTCAACCATTGTAGAGGAATGTGTATTTGTTTAAAATAAATGATTGCACTGGAATTTTTAAAACAAACACTTTTATGGAAACACTTCTGTTGGTCTTATAATTTTTTACATCTGTACATTTCAGTTTGAGGAAAATTTTAAAACAATGACTAACACTTCACTGAATTCCATGTTTACTGTCACACAGCAATTTCTAGATCATATTTGCTCAGTCCACAAATAAAAAGGACTATTTCTACCTGACAGCCTTGCAAATTTATCCTAGAATGTGAAAATCGAGTTATGTTCTTCCTGACTTCCGCATCACCATCAATACGAATTCATTCTCCCCAAATATGTATTTGCTTAATCTTATTGCTTTCAATGGGGTTCAAAGCTTTAATTGCAGAACCAAATTCTTTCCTCAGTTATATTTGTTCAACCCCTTCAGTACAATTTAATACAGTCTTCCTTTTTATATAATGATTTACAACAGTGAAAGAATAGGCATAAAATGCTCCTTTTCTACTTTGGTAGTGGTCAGCATTCACTTTTCATAACTGTAAATGACTATACAATGGGGAAGGCAATGGAGAAATCAGGCACATCTTCAAAGATACTGAACAGGTGTAACAGTGGACAGAATTTGGTCCAGTAACTGGAATTTAATTAATCAACAAAGTTGTTTACTAGGAGCTAGAACAGAACCCAGCTCACTCAAGAGCAGCTGGAGCCACAGGAATAGGACAAATTGCAAAATGTTTATTTTTGAAACTAAACTAAGTAGTGGTGGTCTCAGAATACAGAGAGGAAGAAGATGAAACCATTTTTACAGTGTCACTTTTCAGAAAATCATCTTACTTTACTCCTCCTCAGCATCAACTGAGTGTTTGGCTCTTTATAGTCTGTCAGGTGTACCAAAGAGCATAGTATTTTTTTCAACATGGAGAAGTGTCCATTAGTAACCATCCTGAGATTATCAAATATGCTTCACTTGCAATCTATGCACAATTCAACCCAGATTCTGAGAGGTAAAATGCTGTTTTAATTATTCACTG